ATCACATCTCTACCCTGCTCCCCATGCTCTATAATTGATGGCCAGGGAGATAAGTCCCTTCCCCTATGGTGACMAAATGTCTAGGCTAGGAGCTCCAAGTCATAATATGCCCCAAAGCCCTGGTGCCAAGGCCCAGCTCAGGGACAGTGGGACACAGATGGCAGATCAGGAATAAAGGAAACGGCAAGGAAGGGGCAGTTTTCTGGGAGAAATCTCCAGTTTACTATGGCCCCTTGGGGCCTCAACTTTACCCCTTCTGCAAATCATCTGGAAGAGCTGTCATTATCCTGAGAAAGGGGATGGGGTGGATTGAACTTGGCTAGATTCCCTATCTTTCTCTCGTACCATCTCCTACTCCTACAGTGCCCTAAAAGACAAACAGGTGAAATGGCTTCTCTCTTCTCCCCAGCTGCTGGCCATGGATACCAAAGGGGCCTCTGGGGAAGCCTGGTGAATTGGARGGAGGCCGGGCTGCAAGTGTCTCTGAGCATGTCACCTTCTCTAGGCTTAAACTTAGTTACCAAACATCCAGATGAAGGGTGAAAAATTCCTTCAAAAAGCCAGCTCTTGTGTTACTCAAAAGCTCAGCTTCTAAATAGGAAACTAAGTGGGAAGGGACCCATTATCTCTGGGTTTTGGTGCCATCTCATCTCCATTTTGGCGCCTTTGGGTGGGCACTCGGACCTGCAATTCCAGCTACTTGAAAGGCTGAGGCAGGAGGATCCCAAGTTCGAGGTCAGCCACAGCAACTTAGACCCTGCCTCAAATTTTTATTAAAAAGGATTTGGGAGTGTAGCTCAGAAGTAGAGCATTTGCCTAGCATGTCTGCAGCCCTGGGTTGATCCTTAGTGGAGAGGGATCCTGAGGGCAGACAGCTTTTCAGTTTGTCCACCTTGAACTTCACGCTGTTGGTCTCGGCATCTCTTGGCTACTCCCTCTGGCTATGCCTTTCACCCTGTGTCCTGTCATCTCTCCATTTCCTGTTTTCCTTCTATGTGCCACTGCACCCCAGTGCCAACCACAGGAGTCCTTTCCCTTCAACCAACCTCTTTCCCTCCACCCGTTGCCCTGCTGAAGATCTTAAAGCAGACTAGGTCGGAGGAGGGGAACACAGGCGGCAGACTGCAGGGTCCAGGTCCGCACCTGCAGTGCCTGCAGCCATCCGGGCAACCAGCCACTTGCGCTTGCCCAGGTCAGGGGCGGGGCTCAGACGCGCTGTTCCGCCCTGTGTGGCTTTCACGTGACCCTGGGCTAATCTTGTCCTGGTGACTTCACGAGCCGTCTGGAGCCCAGTCGTCATGGTTACGCTGCAGTGCCCAGCGCTTCCCTCAGTCCGTGGTCCCCCTCTCCCCACCCTGGCCCCCGCCACCAGCCACAAGCCACGTGACAACCGGGAAAGAGGTCGGGAGGGGGAAGGGTCCGTGGTCGTAACCCCTTCCTCTCCGACTTGGGCTTCGGGAATCTGTCACCGGTGGCCTGATTGTCCAGCGGGTGGGCCCTGCACTTCCCCGAGATCCCCAGCCCTGGTTCTGGGTAGTCCAGAAGCGAAGCCCAGGCGTGGGAGGTGAAAGCCCTCGGATCCTCCAGGGCCCGATTCTCGGGTGTATTGGCACCAGCCCGGCCTGCGCTTGACTGTAACTTGCATTACATTACAATCACCTTCGCTCTTGAACTGCAGATATCTCCTGGGATGCGTAGGCGATTCAGAAGCCGAATGTGACAATAATTTCCACATTCTGGACCTCATGTTTTCTCAAGAAAATAAGAGGACCATAGTACCTTCTTTGTGACGATTAAGGGAGCATCACCTTATGGCATTAGTGCATGTGATAGCCTTAAAGGGTCCTGGAGTGGGTGGAGCAGTTGTTCCACCTTACTCTGTCCCAGGCTGAAGAATACCGGGAAGTCGTTGCTTTACAACAGTCCAGGCTCTCAAAGGAACTAGGCGCCTGACCATGGAATGCTTTCACATGGGAGCCATGATGGAGGAAGCACACGGGGCTGTGCTAGCCCAAAAGAGGCATTCACTTAAGAGGGTCCGGTCATACAGGCCTGAGACTAGGAAGTCAAAAGAGGTGATGACAAACACCTTCTGGGCAGAATAAGCCTCAGGCAGAGTTTGAGCTTCTTATTGGCTGTGGCTTCTCCAGAAGATGATGGAATATTTCTATCACTTAGTCTGTAGAGTCGGAACTAATATGCCCACCTTACTTACAGTTTGGGGAATTGAAAAGTACTACTTCATATCGGATTAATGTACATAGTAAACCTTTCATAATAGTAGCCATTGTAATTGGGTGCCCTGGATCAAAAGTTTGATGTAACATGGTGTCAGGTTGGTTCTACATTATTTGGGTACCAACATCATTAGTAGTGGTGAGGTGGGTGAGAGGTGCTTGGGTATAGCGTGGAGTGTATGTTCTAGATATTTCTTAGATCCTTCTGGAGAAAGGGCAGGGAGGACTTGGAGCCAACTTAAGAGTTAGGCCAGGTGATGTCAGTTAATGAAGCTTGAACTAAGGCAACAGTGGGAATAGAGAGAATAGAATGACATTGTGGCAGCTTTTCAAAGGTACTAGTTAAAAAGAATGACCTGAGCCAGGAATGGTGGTGCAGACCTGAAATCCCAGGGACTCAGGTGGCTGAGGCAAGAGGAGCATGATCAAGTTCAAGACCAGTCTCAGCAACTTAGATCTTGTGTAAAAAAAAAAAAAAAAAAAAAGAGGAGGAGAGAGGCTGGGGCTGTAGCCCACTGGCAAAGTGCCTCTAAATTGGGTAAAATTCCCAGTCTCCCCTTAAAAAGACAGAGAGGCCTGAAAATTGTGCTGGAAGAGCTAAGACTATCATTCTCCCTGGGCTCCCCCATCCCCCACCAATAGCTTCCTTATATATCTGCAACTGTCCTTTTGCATGTGTAGATCCCTGCCACTCCCCAAGACTGTGATTCAGAATGTAAGATAGTTATTTCTAGGAGAGTACCACAGGGGCTCCTGGAAAGACCTAGGTGAGGGACAGTGGAATTCTTGTTCTCAACAGTCTCACGATTTGATGACTAGATGTGGAGACAGGAGACCAGGATGACTCCTGGTATCCTTAAGGGGTCCCGGAGTGGGTGGAGTGGGTGTAGGACAATTCTGGTAAAGGCTGGAGAGTTTGCTGTGCCCGGGTGATAGCCAATTCACCCTTCTGTGTAGTTGGAGAAACTAAGGCCCAACTATAGCTTCCCTGAGGTCATAATGAGCTACATCCCCAGTAATTTTTTTTTTTTTTTTTTAATCTTGAGATAGGGTCTCCATAAGTTGCCTAGGCTGTCCTTGAACTCAGAGCCCTCCTGCCTTAGCCTCCTAAATTGCTGGGAATACACCCATGTGCCACTGCACCTGGCAATGATTTGGGGGCCAGATGGTACTAGATATTGAATTCAGGGGCCCTCAGTCCACTGAGCCACATCTCCAACCCTATTTTGTATTTTATTTAGAGACAGGGTGTCACTGAACTGCTAAGCACCTCACCTTTGTTGAGGCTGGCTTTGAACTCGCGATCCTCCTGCCTCAGCCTCCCGAGCTACTGAGATTGCAGGCGTGCACCACTGYACCTGGCTTCGCAGTGACTGGTTTTTAAATAACAGCCAGCTATGAATTGGGATAAATCTCCTTGGCCTGGAAAATTGGATCTTGGTTTGGAGAGCTGGGGATGGGGAAACAGGAAGAGTGTCCTTTGAGCCCTGGAGAGCAGCTAGTGATGGGAATGGCTCAAGATGATTCTGCAACAGGCCATAGCTTGTCCTAACACAGCTTGTGCCTCACTACTGGATGGTTCTACCTTTTTTTTTGCCAGTTGTGCTGGGTGATAGTGGAGCTGTTAGCTTTCACTTACCTTGGAGACCTGTAAACACCTAAGCAGAAGGTTCAGTTGTGAGCCCTTAGTGTGTCTTAGGCAAAGGCTTTTATCTGAGGGGGCCTCATTGGTATCTTGAACATGATGTCTAGAAACATTTTCCGAGGGTGCCCAATTAGAAGGTCTATCAATCTCACCTGTGTACACTTCAACATGAAGGAAGTCTAGTAATGTTACCACTGCAGGCCTGAGATTGAGAATCAAGGTAAAGGTGACTTAGAGACCCTCATATCTGTTGGCACCAGTGAGCCTCAGGTGAAATAGGTACTGCAGGAGTGAATTCCAATAGTTGTATAGGGAGAAGGGAAACTAGACTTGTTACTTGTGATTCCTAAGGATTTTTGTTGTTTTCATTTCTGTGGTTCTGGGTTTGAATCCAGCTAAGCATTCTAGTGTAGAGCAGTAACCTAGCCTTATACTTGAATTTGAGATCTTATTTATTTATTTATGGTACCAGGGATTGAACTCAGGAGGCACTTAACCACTGAGCCACATCCTTTTATATATATATAAAATATTTATTTATATGTGGTGCTGAGGATCGAACCCAGGGCCTCGCACATGCTAGGCGAGCGCTCTACTGCTGAGCCACATCCCCAGCCCTGCCACATCCCTTTTTATTTTTTATTTTGAGACAGGGCCTAGCTAAGTTACCTAGGGTTTCACTAAGTTTCTGAGGCTGACTTTGAACTTGTGATCCTCCTGCCACTTGGATTACAGGTGTATACCACCCAGCAAGTTTGAGATATATTTTAAGGGGCTGGGGATGTGGCTCAGTGATCAAGTGCTTGCTTAGCATGTACAAGGCCTGGAGTTCAATCCCCAGCACCACAAAAATAAATAAATATTGCCAGTGTGTGGGTGGGTCTGTTACTTGTGTCTACCCGAGAATGATACTCAAGTGTGTTACCCATATATCACAGTATTGATTGCACTACTGATACCTAAGAGGAAGCCCAAGCGTGTTGGGTGTCCTCTGATGGGTACCTCAAGGAAAACTCAAGTGTTGCCTTTAGTGAGCTAWTGCTAGCCCAGCTTCTTAGCCCAAGCTTTTGGAGCTGCGCCAGTGGCTTTGATAGCGCCTTCCTCCTTCATTCCCACAGGGCCCGCTGCTCAGCACCACATCGGGGCCCAGAGGCTATGGCCTGCCTCCATGAGACCCGCACACCCTCCCCTTCTTTTGGGGGCTTCGTGTCTACCCTAAGTGAGGCTTCCATGCGCAAGCTGGACCCAGACACTTCAGACTGCACCCCTGAGAAGGACCTGACACCCACCCAGTGTGTACTTCGTGATGTAGTGCCTCTTGGTGGTCAGGGCGCAGGTGGGCCCAGCCCCTCCCCAGGTGGAGAGCCACCTCCTGAGCCTTTTGCCAATAGTGTCCTGCAGCTACATGAGCAGGAAACAGGGGGTTCAGGAGGAGCCACGGGATCACCTGAGAGTCGGGCATCTAGAGTCCGAGCTGACGAGGTGAGGCTACAGTGCCAGAGTGGCAGTGGCTTCCTTGAAGGCCTCTTCGGCTGCCTACGCCCAGTCTGGACTATGATTGGCAAAGCCTACTCCACGGAACACAAGCAGCAGCAGGAAGGTAGGCCAGGTTCCTGTCTGAGCTCTCTCTGAGTCTCCCTAAGTCTGAGATCTGTTGGACAGCCCCACACTTCAGTCATCACCCAGTGATCCCTTCCCTCCCCACTGCCCAGCCCTAGTCCCCCACCCATCTATTAGCCTAACTTCCCAACTTTTTGTGTGTCTGTGGTGCTGTGGAACCCAGGGCCCACATGCTGGGCAACTGCTCTATCACTGAGCTGCACCCCAGCTCCCCAGCTGCTTTCAAAGCCACCCAATCATTTCCTTCTCTGTCCTCTAGACCTAATGTCTTTTCAGCCTGATTTGTTACCCTTCTGCCTTGCCCTTGACTCATTTTAGCCAACTCAATGATGTCCCCCATCCCTGGCCTTGTCATAAAGCCTTGAGTGCAGCTTCTGAGCCTTGTGGCACTGTGCCTCCTGCCCACAGACCTTTGGGAGGTTCCTTTTGAGGAAATCCTGGACCTGCAGTGGGTAGGCTCCGGGGCCCAGGGAGCTGTCTTCCTGGGGCGCTTCCATGGGGAGGAGGTAGCTGTGAAGAAAGTACGAGACCTCAAGGAGACCGACATCAAGCACCTGAGAAAGCTGAAGCACCCCAACATCATCACTTTCAAGTGAGGTCCAGGGAAGGGGCTGGGAGTATTATGCTGAGGCCTGCGACCCTCATGGGGCAGTGGGACCTAAACCATCCTTCCCAAAGGAGACCCCCAGACAGCATGGGTGGGAATGAGGGTTCCAAGTGCAAGTGAGGTAAATGTTGGGCTGCCTGAGGCCTTCACATTATGGTGTTCGGCCCCCAGGGGTGTGTGTACCCAGGCGCCCTGCTACTGCATCCTCATGGAGTTCTGCGCCCAGGGCCAGCTATATGAGGTGCTGCGGGCTGGCCGCCCTGTCACCCCGTCCTTGCTGGTTGACTGGTCCATGGGCATTGCCGGAGGCATGAACTACCTGCACCTGCACAAGATCATCCACAGAGACCTCAAGTCCCCCAAGTGAGTATGCACGCAAGCAAGCAGAAATTGCTGCACATGCAGGGGACCATCCAAGGCTGTGTGGCCCTCTCCCTCCTTCTAGATCCTGCCCTAATTGCATGTGGCCATTTCAGAAACCTTTTCCAAGTGACAGTTCTATCTTGGAAGGACTGTGGTGAACCTTTCACCTTTGGGTGTCCCTTATGATGTTCAACAGAAAGGCAAAGTTGCTAGAGAGTTAGTTGGGATATGTGGAAGGACGTGGATCCCAGCTGACTACACTTTTTACCAGCATGCTAATCACATATGACGACGTGGTGAAGATCTCAGATTTTGGCACTTCCAAGGAGCTGAGTGACAAGAGCACCAAGATGTCCTTTGCAGGGACGGTAGCCTGGATGGCCCCTGAGGTGATCCGCAATGAGCCTGTGTCTGAGAAGGTTGACATCTGGTGAGGGCCAGAATGAGGACTGAGGAGGGTGGGTGGCCAACAAAGTGGGGCAGTGCCACCAGGGCGTGGGCATTCTTTGGCAACCAGGGCCTCTGAAGGGAGACTTTCACAAATGATACACCCTCTTATCTCCAGGTCCTTTGGTGTGGTGCTATGGGAACTCCTGACTGGTGAGATCCCTTACAAAGATGTAGATTCCTCAGCCATCATCTGGGGTGTAGGAAGCAACAGTCTTCATCTGCCCGTACCCTCCAGCTGCCCAGATGGCTTCAAAATCTTACTTCGTCAGTGCTGGTAAGAATGGCTGGGTTTGGGCTAAACTGGAACCTAGTTGAGAAGCCAGAGAGCTTTGCTGAGGAATAGCTAGTTCCTAGAACCCAGGCATCCAGGCCCAGAATCCTTAATAGGAAAAGGAGGCCAAAGCTACCCAATGATGCTCTCCAAGAATCAAGTATCTGAAATGTGGATTAAGGCTCATAACTGAGGGATACTGGACTGACCAGTAATCTGCAGGGGTACATTAAATTCAAAGAGTAATTTGCATCTGAATTGGGCTTCTACTGCCTTCTAAGCAGAGTGACCTTTGGGGTACTTGATCTTATGTGGTGAGACCCTTTCTCAAAATAAAAATGGCTGGGTTCAATTCCTAGTACCAAAATTGATAGATTAGATAGATAGTAAGTGCTGGGGATACAGCTCAGTGGTTAAACACCTCTGGATTAAACCCAGTACCACAAAAACAACATAGATGACCATAGAACCCAGAGGATAAGCTGAATCTTTTATTGTGGTGGTGGTACTAGAGATTGAACTTGGGCATTCTATAACTGAAAGACAGTCCCAGGTGTTTTTTTAATTTATTTATTTTTGGATACCAGGGATTGAATCCAGGGCACTTAACCACTAAGCCACACCCCCAGTCCTTTTTTTTTTTTTTTGGTATCCGGGATTAAACTCAGGAGCACAACCATTGAGCAAAGTCTCCAGCCATATTTTGTAGTCCCCCTGACCCCCCAAGTAGCTGGGATTACAGGTGTGCACCACCACACCCGGCTCCCAGCCTTTTTTAAATGTATTTTGAGATTGAGCCTCACTAAGTTGCTGAGGCTAGCTTTGAATTTAAATCCTCCTACCTCAACCTCCTGAGCCACTGGGATTACAAGCATGTGCCACCATGCATAGCTTATTTTGAGATGAGGTCTTAAGTTTCCAGGGCTGGTCTCAGCCTCCCAAGTCACAAGGATAACAGATGTGCATTACCATGTGCTAACCTGAAGATTCTTGGCATTTACCAGATTGTTTTTTTCATTGGTGTTTCTCAGAAAAATGTTTTACTCGGGTAGACAATTGGAAAATATGAGGTTAAACAGGTTTCCTTGCTGATATTGTATGACATCTCCATGAGTTCTTATACCACAGTACATTTATTTATCTATCTATATCCATCCATCCATCCAGCTATTTATTTTGTGTGGTGCTGGGTATTGAACCCAGGGCCTTGATTGCAAGGCAAGCACTTTGCCAACTGAGCTATATCCCCAGCCCTATCACAGTACATTCTAAGACTGGATTCTCCAGGACACACCTTAGGAAAGGATGTTCTAGTTCCTATCTGGTCCTCCCTGAAATTCCCTTCTTCCCCAACTTCATTCCCTTCAGGAACAGCAAACCACGAAATCGTCCATCATTCCGACAGATCCTGCTGCATCTGGACATTGCCTCAGCTGACGTACTCTCCACACCCCAGGAGACTTACTTTAAGTCCCAGGTGTGCTGTGGATAGGGAAATGAATATCCAAGTCCCCTTTGCAGAAATAATGATGCCCTTTGGGTGGAGTGGGGAGGCTACGCAAAAGGGTTGGCTGGACACAATATATTAGTCCTCGTAGAGGACTGGGACCCCATCTTGGTTAGTCTTGTGCCCCACTCTTTTGCTCTGAAAACACAATTTGCAGTGGAACAGGCAACCTCTAGAGACCTCAGGTCAACTGGGTGAAGAGATGGCTCTTAACCTTCACTGTCTCTCCACCCCCAGGCAGAGTGGCGGGAAGAGGTAAAGCTGCACTTTGAGAAGATCAAGTCTGAAGGAACCTGTCTGCACCGCCTAGAAGAGGAGCTGGTAATGAGGAGGAGGGAGGAGCTCAGGTATGTGACTGAGGGGATTTTACCAGCAGCAGGAACTGGATACCACCAGCTCCCAGAGACTGAGATCCAACATGAAATCACATGAACTCAGTTTACCATGGGGAACCCATCTGCCCATTTCAGACATGCCCTGGATATCAGGGAGCACTATGAACGGAAATTGGAGAGAGCCAACAACCTATACATGGAACTCAATGCCCTCATGTTGCAGCTGGAACTCAAGGAGCGGGAGCTGCTCAGGTAACCTTGCCCACCTTTATACACCAAGGGCCTGACCTCTGCTGAGCTGAGCTGCCTTACTTGTAGACCCTACAGATCCCTCATTATTCAGATGCCCAACTGAGGAATTATCTGAATCTTTAGGCGAGAACAAGCTTTAGAGCGGAGATGCCCAGGCCTGCTAAAGCCACACCCTTCTCGGGGCCTCCTTCATGGAAACACAATGGAGAAACTCATCAAGAAGAGGAATGTGCCACAGAAACTGTCACCCCATAGCAAAAGGTAGGGCATGAGTTCATTAAGATTGAGGTTCTAAGTATGACAGGAGTGATGCTGAAAAGGCTGCAGATGCTTAGAAGGGTGGAAATGCTCAAGCTTTGGGTGGGTAAATACATTAATCTCAACCTTGTATTCTCCCCTACCAGGCCAGATATCCTGAAGACAGAGTCCTTGCTACCTAAACTAGATGCAGCACTAAGTGGCGTGGGGCTTCCAGGGTGTCCTAAGGGTCCCCCCTCACCAGGACGGAGTCGCCGTGGCAAGACACGTCACCGCAAGTCCAGCGCCAAGGGCAGCTGTGGGGACCTCCCTGGGCTTCGTGCAGCTGTGCCACCCCATGAACCTGGAGGACCAGGAAGCCCAGGGGGCCTAGGAGCAGGACCCTCAGCTTGGGAGGCTTGCCCTCCTGCCCTCCGTGGGCTCCACCATGACCTTCTGCTCCGCAAGATGTCTTCTTCATCCCCAGACCTGCTGTCAGCAGCACTGGGAGCTCGGGGTCGGGGGGCCACAGGAGGAGCTGGGGATCCTGGCTCACCACCTCCAGCCCGTGGTGACACCCCCCCAAGTGAAGGCTCAGCCCCTGGTTCCACCAGCCCTGAGTCACCTGGGGGGGCCAAAGGGGAGCCGCCTCCACCAGTAGGGCCTGGCGATGGTGTAGGGCTGCTGGGAACTGGAAGGGAAGGGACAGCGGGCCGGGGAGGAAGCCGGGCTGGGTCCCAGCACTTGACTCCAGCTGCACTGCTCTACAGGGCTGCTGTCACTCGGAGTCAGGTAAAGTATGGGGAGATTTCTATACTTCCCCTTTCCTTGTTCTACCCTGGTTCTAGGTCTCATTGCCCATTTCTGAGCTCTCAATCTTAGGCAACTCCCTATATAATCTTTTGCAACTAAATTCCCTTATCCTGGATTCAAGACTTTTTCCCTTTTTTGATCACAGTCCCTCATTTCTCCCACACAGAAAAGAGGAATCTCTTCAGAAGAGGAAGAAGGAGAGGTAGACAGTGAAGTAGAGCTTACATCAAGCCAGAGGTGAGCAATAATCATGTAGCAAAGGCCTATGTTTCAGGGGTGCAAAGGGCAGAACAAGTCTTTAACACCCACCCTTTAACATTTTAGGTGGCCTCAGGGCATGAATATGCGCCAGTCACTATCTACCTTCAGCTCAGAGAATCCATCAGATGGGGAGGAGGGCACAGCTAGTGAGCCTTCTCCCAGTGGCACACCTGAAGTTGGCAGCACCAACACTGATGAACGGCCAGATGAACGGTCTGATGACATGTGTTCCCAGGGTTCAGAAATCCCACTGGACCCACCTGCCTCAGAGGCTGTTCCAGACCCTTCCTCCCAGCCCATACCACACCAGGACCTACTCAGAGGTGAGCAGGTAAGTTAAGAACAGAACCTACCAGATATCAGACAAGAACCAGGAGCCTGATTTTTGACAGCTTTCGGTGATATATGTACAGGCCAGAAAGATAGGTATTTAGCCTCCATCAGTTTCTGAGCCAGTTTCTTCCCCTCCCAAAAGCAAATATCCATATGGTAGAATGTGAGGCCTATGATACAGAGCCTGTATAATATAGTGTCTGTGACAACTCGTGTGGCCACTATTAACTGCAGCCAGGGAAGGATCCTGAAAATAGCAGTCTGGTGCCTTGCAGAATGACCTGAAACCTGGAAGCAATAAAATCAGTAAGCCACTGGTTATTAGATTCTGCCCTTACTGGGATCATTATAATGCCAAGAGCTTTTCCACCTCACTGCATTTCTACTCTTCCTCACAGGGCCCTCCTAATTCTGAGGACTCAGACTGTGACAGCACTGAATTGGACAACTCCAACAGCGTTGATGCCTTGAGGCCCCCATCCTCACTCCCTCCATGAAAGCCACTCCAATTCCCTGTATATAGAGAAATATTTATATAAATAATATATATGCGCCACATAATCAGAGGAAGATGGGGCTGTCCCAAGCTTAAATCAGGCTTGTGGGGAACTGACCCCTGATAAAAGTCAAGGGATACAGGCAGCTGTGGAGATGAATGACAAGTACTGTCCTAGAGCTGTGTGGAAACTGGGGAAATTGGCCCCTTCTTGCTTCACCCCATTCCTTATGTTCAGCAAGCAATGCTTGTCACTAGGATCTTTACCCCCAACTTTGGGAGGCAGAAGGAACCATGTAGACTGCACTTTTCTGTTTTCCGTTTACTCTGTTTACACATTTTGCACTTGGGAGGAGGGAGACTAAAGCTGGGTCCTCCCTTCTGAGGTTTCTCAGGTGGCAATGTAACTCCTTTCTTTGTCCCTCCCTTTCTCTGCTAACCCCTGGCTTAGGGCCCAGGGTGAGGTTGAGAGACTTGATAGCATGTGATGATGGCTCAGGCTGAAGAACTAGGGTGCTGTTTAAGTCCCTGCTTTTATCCTGGTGCCTGATTGGGGTGGGGACTGTCATATTGTATCCCTGTGAAAAACCTTGAAATATAACCACTCCATGCAGGCCCAGCTGTTGAGGGTTTTTCTTGATGAATGAATGGGATATCAAACCTGGTGAAGAAGTTAACTATCTTTTCTCACTAAATGATCGTTAAACTTTGTACAATTACTGGCACAAACAGCAGCAGGTACAATCTTCTAAGTGATTTTATGACAAAAACAGAAGTAGCTCTTCTTACTGGCCAGGAACGGTGGTACACACCTATAATCCCAGCAAATCAGGAGGTTAAGGCAGGAACATTGTAAATTCAAGGCCAGCCTGGGCAATTTTGCAAGGCCCTGTCTCAAAAAAAGTAACTGGAATGTAGCTCGGCAGTAAAGACCCCTTCAGTTCAAACTCCAGTCCCCCCAAACAAACAAAAAAAAAAAAAAAAAGGAAAAACCTCATTAAGGAAAAAGGACTATAAATGAACACTTACTAAAAACAAGAGACTTAAGTTTTCATTTAAAATATGCAAGCTTGAACAAGGACAAATATTCCCATGAAGGTGAATCCCAGATACAGGTCAACTGCTTCCATGTATATGCATGTGTGCACCATCCAACCATGGAACTGCATACCTATTCTACAGTTAGGTCCTAGCAAAGTCTAATCCTCAAACTGGGCATAAGGTTTCACAAGGGGCAACTAAATACAGGGTTGTAGGAAGAAAGGATCAAGGGTGAATAAAAAACATGGGAGTGGTGAACAGGAGAAAATATCTTAATTGCAATAAAGGCTTCTATTCAAAACCCAATCAGGGTCCTGTAAAGGACAAAAGGTACAAAAATAACAGGAAGACAACAGGAATAAAACCCACATGAATCACTGTGGCATCCAGTTTCTATTCACAAAGAAAAAGCTCCAGTCCATCTTTTAATTTTTTTGAAAAATTCCTGACATTACAGAACTAAACTGAAATGTATTAATAGTCCACTCTTACATTTCCATGACAAACAAAAATTCATGAGCCAAAAAAAAAAAAAACAACCAAAAAAAAAAAGGGAGAAGCTTATAAAACTAAATATGGATCTCAGCATTAACAGCTGAACAGAGAAAGGAATTAAAACGCTTTAATTAAAAAATCACGAGTGGATGATAAATGTGTAGAAACTGAAAATTTACAAACTATTTAAAACCTGGAATCGCTGACTGTTCAGAAACTACACAGATGGATCATGGGTGGTGGTGAACAGCAGAAAGGGATTATGGATGAATCTGCATTGTTCTAGCTRCTCCCCATGCCACCCGTCTCCGAGGAAAGCCTGTAACATAGAAACAAAACAAGAACTCAAAGTTAGTTTTCCCAGTGCCCAGTTGCACCTCGCCTCTAGAATGTTCAGCCTGGCTGACTGAGGAGGAAGGGGAAGGTAATCACACTTCAGTTTCTTGGATTAACCAGAACCATAATACTTTTTCTTTTTTTAAGGTGGGGTGGGGATATACGGGGGCTTGAATCCAGAGGTTCTAAACACTGAGCTACATCTGAGTCCTTTTTAAATTATTAAGACAGCCTCAGTAAATTGCTTGGGGCCCCACTAAACTGCCCAGGCTGGCTTCAATCTTGTAATCCTCCTGTCTTAGCTTCCTGAGTTGCTGGGATTACGGGCKTGCACCACCATGCCCAGCCCATGACCTTTTTTAATGGACTTTCAATCTAAGCTTCCTCAGGCAAACTACCTCAGAACAGAAACAATGTTGGTGTCATTCCTCAAGCTATGCCCTCTAGAACTTCTAGATTTTCTGAAGATATGCTTCTCCACAAAGACTGTTCTTGGAGGACATGGATACACAGAAGTAATGTTTCTTTATTGCTCATATTTACCTCCTCCCAAACTGCTAAGTAAAATAGAGCCATTTGGGAAACAAACATTATCTGAAAGTAGCCTCATTAGGTTATTGCTTAGACACATAGCTTACACTGTGAACAGAACTAAATATGTAAGAATAAGTGATCTTATCTCTCAAAAATAATTTCATAAAAGGTTCTAAATTGACTAGCATGACCTACTGGTGGTGTCTGGTCAAGAAAGTTTGCAAACTCACATCTATTACCCTTCTACAACAAGGCATAGTAGCCAGAAGAGAAAACCAAAGGTCAGGAAATTAGAGAGTCCTTCAACTACAAACTATTTTTAAAATCAGAAATTATCTCTTCACCTCATCAAAAATAATACTTAATTCTTGAAAAGATCTAGGGAAAGGTCAACAATAAGCCCTGAATAAAAGGGTTTTGTGGGAACCAAAGGCCCACAGTTTAAATCTAGGACCATTTAAAAAAAAAAAAAAAGTTGCAACACTCTGGCCCTACAGTGATCAAAAAGAACTATCCAGTACTTACACCAAACCTAAGCAGGACTTTGTAGGGATGGGGATGTAGGAGACAGGGACAGGAAAAAATTGAACAAGAAATACACAGTGGGCTGGAGATGTAGCTCAGTGGTAGGGTGTTGCCTAGCATGCAGGCAGTGTGGGGCTCTGAGTTCAATCTTCAGCACTGCAAAGAATATATTAAGAAATCTGGAACCACATGGGGGAGCTCTAAGCTTTTAAAAAATGTAACACCCAGTATCTTTAGAGGCCCCTTAATTGAACTGGTGCTCAGAAATCTTCTTAAGAATATTCATTAGGTTAAAAGGCCTTCCTATTTAAAAACAAAAAAAGACCAAGCCCTCATGATATAAGTATGCTAAGTCCCTAACTATAGAAGGAAGAGCAACTAACACAAAAACTTCTACCTGGACAATTAAGCACAAGTTTGTTCCTCCAAACCTTCATCATGCCGATATGGGCATATAATGCTAATTCATATTCCCAATCTGGGATAACATCAGAGAAAAATACTGGAATACTTGAGAACAGCTAGGTTTCTTGTCTCTTTTAAGCAATGTCAACCAAAAGTAATGTAGAAAATGGTTATCAAGGAGAAATCTCTCATCATCAAGTTCTTTTCTCTAATGCTCTGGGGAAGAACATTATATATTCAAAACCCTGGCAATATGTAGAACATTGGAAGCCTTCTGCCTTTACATTTAGAGTTCTATGTTTTTTGTTTGTGTAGAGCTAGGAATTGAACCTAGGGCCTAGCACATACCAAGCTAGCATTCTAACACTGAGCTACCCGCAGCCCATCATTAATTCAGACTTGTGTGCATCCTGGAATAAGGAAATGAAAAAGCAACTAGGAATGCAGCTCAGTGATAGAATACAAGCCTGTGTTCAAATCCAAGCTCCAAAAAAACAAATGAATTAACCTCAGGGAAGTACACTGAGTAAAGGTCAGGCACAAATCTAAATGCTCAGGGACTTTCTTTTTCTTTTCCATTATTTGAGAGGACTAATGAGTTACAAATTAATTGATCCCCAAGGGTGCTTCAAATTTAAGCTTATAATTTCCTACTTATCATAGTGTTGGGGATAGGGAAGGGTAGGCAGAGACCAGAAGGGTACAGGAACTTAGATCACTAACTGAAGTTGGTTTAGGATTAGTCAGCATCCTATTCAAGTTCTAGACAATGTCATAGATTAGTTGTTCAAGATCTTTCAAATGTCACAGGAAGAAGGGTAATGCTCATTCACAGGAACTAGACAGTAGCTGCCTGCCTTTGATTTACTTCACCTTGTCCCACCATTCTGCGTGAAGAAGTTAAGTGATTTGTATATATATGCCTTGGAAGAGATCTTCACTACCTCAGACAGACACCCTTGTTACCTGCTGTTGGCAAGGTATGGGATATGAGAAACTCTTCTTCACTAATGAAGTTCCTTGCTAATTATGAAGAACCCTCAGCACCTAAAATGCCACAAGCCCTTTCCTCTTTGTGGCAATATTGTCAAAGATTTATATAATTAACCTGGGACACAAAAGTCCAATGCAGTTGTATAGACTTCCTAGTGGATTAGCCACAGGTCACAAGTTCCCACCCCTTTACACGTCACAGCACACGGTGAACTAAGGTTGTTACTGTGGCAACTTTATTACAGCTAGAAACACAAATTTGGCCAAAGGCCTGCTGATAGCTTAACCATTTAATAATTAAAAAAGGGTGGGGGGGTAACGGAGAAGCCTTTATTCATTAACACAGAGCCTAACACATTATTATATTGCAAGGCAGAATAAAGCTACAAAAAAGGTAACAGAATGAGAAAGAGCAAAAACCGTGGCTCTAGATAAAGAATTCAACAAGTCAGACTCTGAAACAGGCACTCAGCTGAAATGGCCTAAACCTAAACAAGAGTTATCATTGCCCCCACCCCCACCCAGATATACCCCAAAGTAGTAAAAGGAAAACGGTCACAAGCTCACAATAATTTGGTTCTCACCAGTGTTAACAAAATAAAACAAAATGAACCAATACACACTTGAGGGAGGTGCCTCAAGATATGCACTCAGTAGGGGGAGAACCTCTGTTTCTCCCCTTTCAGTTTGTTAGTTACACACGGCACCGCAGAGGTGGTGGTGGTGGCAGCTGAAGCCCCGGTACCCTTAGCAGCAGACACAACATTTAGAGCCAGGAGAGGGATGGGTTTCATGCCAAGCAGACTGGAGACACAAGGGGCGGTCGGAAGAGGGTTGGGGAGGCTGGAGGGTGCGTCGGAGGTCCCCGCTGTGGCGAGCGAGGGGGTGGTGGTGGAGGAGGAAGAAGAAGAAGAAGGGGTGGAGGGTTGAGAGAGGTTGATGCTGAGGTGATCAGGGATCGTGACGGAGGCTGCCTGGGAGGAGGGTTTAGCGTTTTCTAAACTGTAACAGAGGAAAAAAGGAACAAAAAAAAAGGGTGGGTGGAAGGGAAGACCACAAAAGGGAAAAAGTACAGGACAAAAACCGCTTCAGTTATATCAGTAAGTGTCTTTGGTTGCCAATTAGGAAGATTTACATAAACTTCCGACAAACTGTATTTTAGCCTGTGTCCCACCCTCTAAATATGTACACTTTGCCATTTTCTATTCCACAATGCTATTTAAAACTGCTTTGGTGAAGAAAAAACTAACAAACTAAAAAAGGAATCATACAAGGCACATATTTCCAAATATCCTTTATCCAACTTACAAGAAAGAAATACTTTCAGGTAGAAAATGAAAAAGTATTCAATCTCCAAACAAGAAGGAATGTTTCAAATACAAATCAAATGTTAATTTCCCCTTCCAAAGGAAAATTACCCAACAATTACTTATAAAGCTGAATGTTACACAGAATTCTCTAAATTGTATGTATGTGTAGTTAGTCTGTTTACATTTCCACAAAAAACTCGTGTTTAAGATGGAAAGGGACAAGTATCCAAAATAGGTCACTGACTAATTTCAAACTTYAAGGAATGTAGCATTTTCAAGGAAAATGCTAAGAACTGAAGTATAGATAAGAACTGGGGAAGCTTTTCTAGTGGGAGGTGGTGGAGTATCAAAAGGCTCTTTGTTTTGACTGACCACACATCTAATGTAGACTTTACAGAAAGAAACTCACTCCCCAAACTCTCAGGTTTTAAAAAAAGCAAAAATAATGCTGTTTTTACTCCTAAAGTAACCTAAGTTAACAGTAAACATCTACATCTCCCAAATGCCTACATGTGTTTAAAAGCCAAAACTATAGGTTATTAGCTGAAGTTTATCCAGAAAATCTACCCTCCAAAAATAACTTGAGGAACAGGGAGGTTCCTTTTAAAGATTCTATTTTATTTACCTTTGTTCACTGTCAGCTTCAATCCATAAAGGATGATGACAGAGTAATCAACTAACTACAGAAAGTACTGAATGTCACCATGAAAACTAAAAATACTCAGAATTCACTAATAAAAGTAGAAAAATTCTTCCTAAAACATTCCCAAATAATCAAACAGTTGATTTTTGCATTCAAATTGGCCAAGATGAGAAAGTGAACCGCAAGTACTGTGCATGCACAATCCTTGCTTTAGTATTAAATGAAGCATAATCCCAGTGGCTCAGGAGGCTAGGCAAGAGAATTTTTTTAGTTCTAAGCCAGGTTTCAGCAACTTAGGGAAGCCCTAAATAACATTGTAAAATTCTGTCTCAAAATAAAACACAAAAAGGGGTGGGGATGTGRCTCAGGGGTTAAGTSCCCTGGGTTCAATCCCTGGTACCAAAAAAATAAAAATAAAAAAATCCATACACTGTAGCCACTGACCTACTACACTACTACAGGGGCCAAGCAAACAGGCCACACTGAAAAATAGTCATAATCGAAACTCTCTTGACAGGACAATCCTACCAAAAACCCAAGAAAAAATTTTCCAGATTCTAATAACATGATTTTTGCCACTTGAAACTCCCCTCAAATACCCACTTAGAACAAGAAAATGAATCTTTGCCAACAGTCTCAGTGTCTAGTTTTCTACCGCTTTGACTATTAAAGACTTGATGTGCTTGGCAGCTGAAGAAACAAACAGATCTAGATATAGGAAAGTGTTTTCTATGTAAAAATTAATAGTGCCTCAAAGAAAACTTAAGGGAAATGTCAAGACCACTATTAGGGAACTTAGACATCTCTGATAGGGATAGAAGACCATGGTATAAAGACTGGTCTGTACAACAATGACAAGAATACAGACTTCATACTTATGAAAGCCTTTCCCATGTACCACATTTAAGAACTCATAAAACTTTCATGCTACAGAGGCCAAATAGGTAGGAGATAAGTACATAATAACTGGATAACACTCCCCATAAAAAGGATCCCTAAGCCCTTGGGAAATGTACTAAAACAATGGCTTTAAAATGTTTGTTTGCAAGCAATTAACAATGCGACTTTAGCACATGAGCTAAAAACTGTTTCCTAAGTGAAAGTTTTTTAGCCTATTAACAGCTACCCTACAACTAACTGTATGTAGTAACATTACCTTGGTATGGGATAAGCAAAAAAAAAAAAAAAAAAAAAAAACACACAAAAAAAAAAACTCAGGTGGTCATTAAAGAATGAGAATGAGACAGGAAATACACCTGGCATTTCTGCAACATTCCCAAATAATCAAACACTTATAATTTGAGAAAAAAAGGATGTTTTTAAGAACAAGTGAGGGGATGGGGTAGTGGCTCAATGGTAGAACACTTGCCTAGCATGAGTGCAGCACTGGGTTCAATTCTCAGCACCATATATAAATAAAGGTTCATCCACAACTATACTAAAAAAAAAAAAAAAGAAGAAATGGGGGCTGGGGATGTGGCTCAAGCCCAGGTTTGATCCTCAGCACCACATACAAAGATGTTGTGACCACCAATAATTAAAAAAAATATATTAATATTATCTCTCTCTCTCTCTCTCTCTTAAAATATATATATAAAAAAAAAAGAAGAAATGGTAATGGCTGCCTCCAAGAGAATGCTTTGATGTGCATTTCTCCATTATTATTTAAGGGTGCTTTTAAAATTCAATTAAAGGTGCTCTGGATGTCAAGAAATATTGGTCTATGTGACATGAATAAAACGAGAAACGTGGTTTTTTTTTTTTTTTTTTGGGGGGGGGGTTTGTCAGTATGGCTGATCTTGCCAGAGCACTGTCCTACTAGAAGTCATACACTACCTCTTCCAACTCCAAAGTCATCAAAAGTTAAATGCAACCAATCTATGTCACCCCATGCAAAGTTACTGGAATGATTTTTTTTAATCTAATGATGAAAGAAAGCAGGGCTATATTTTTAAAAAAATAATTTTTGCCATCTCTACCCATCCCCAAGTAGTCCTATAATAATAAAGTATTACAATGTTCCCCAACATACCCCTACTATGTTGGAATTAAGGTAAAAGGTAGGGCAATCTTACCTGACGTTGATTAGATACTGAGCCAGGCTAATGCTGGCAGCAGATCCAGTGATGGTAACCTGCCTATCGGTAGATCCTTCCACTGGGTTCGCAATTTTGATCTGCGCCCCAGACATCTGACGGATCTCATTGATTTTGGCGCCTTGACGCCCAATTATGCAGCCAATCAACTGAAAAGACAACAAATTAAGACTTGTATGGCTAGGTCCAAGAATTCTATACTGTCTCTTCTACAACTTGGATCTAAGAACTAAGTAATAGGAACTATTATCCACAATCTACACTCTTTCTTTATATTCTTTAAAAACTAAAACCTAGTCAGATGGCTAGGAATCAATAAAGGCATCTTCAGTTCTGGGTAGCAATGATGCTTAAAATTCATCTGCCATGAGGGGCTGGGGTTGTAGCTTGGTGGTAGAGCGTTTGCCTAGCATGTGTGAAGTACTGGGTTCGACCCTCAGCACTAAATAAATAAAATAAAATTACTGTTTCCATCTACAACTAAGAATATTTTTTTAAAAAAATCATCTGCCATGGATACCGTCTTACTACAATGATAAAAATTCTAGATAATTTTGAAAGCTTTTGTCTAAGGAAAAGAAAAAATAATTACCTACATTTGAACAGTCCAATACTATAAACAGTAATGAGACAATAATTTGTTCTTATTGAACATCTGAACTGTGGCTAATCAAACTGAGAAATTGAATTTAAAATATTTTATTTTTCTCAACCTAAATAGCCACAGTGTCTGTAGCTACCATGTTAGAAAGCACAGATTTAACATTCAAGATCATTTCACCCAATGCTTTAAGGATAAAAGTTCTACAAGATTCTACAAGAAACAAAGGCAAATGGAATTTCTACCTGGGGGGGGGGGGATGTTCATTCTGTCTCACAGTAAGTTTTCCTCCATGTCAATAAATTTTTTCTAGGATTGTTTGTACCCCGAATTCTCTTTAGTTTAAAAAAACTTAATTTGGGGGCTATGCATATAGCTTAGAGGAAGAGTACTTGCTTACAAGTATGGGCACTTATATTCTTGGAAACCAATGCCTAGTACACTTACATCGTTTGGAATGGTGAGTTCATGAGAAGTAGTCTGAGCAGATGCATCCAAACCTGCTAAAAGACAGAAGAGAGCAAGAAAGTTCAATGCACAGCATTCAGAACCACACTGAACTGCACATTAAACTAACAGAAAGAAATTAAACTGGAAACCCAGCATTGGCTGTTGGGATTCATCACTAACTTGGAAGCCTCCAAGGAGGAAAGAGGGGGAGAGGGATGTAGAAATAATGCTGGAAAGGTTCTTCTGTACACTCAGAAGAGCTGATTTCATGCCATTTCCTGCAAAGCCCCGCCTATTGGGGTAGGGGGATGGAAGCAAGGGGCAAGGGAGCATGGTATCCTCAAACAGGACAAAATCTGAACCGAAATCTAAACATCAAGTCCTTCACTTCTTCCCCTTTTCTGGTTAGAATTTCCTGCTGTTGTGTTACAATTTTATCTCACACAATTCTCGCTAACACCAATGCCAATATCATGCCTATTATTTGGTACCATGGACTTTTGGCACACATGCAGAGTTGACTTAAATATACCCATGTCAGATTAACACCCTATGCCTTTATCCTCCTAAACTAAACTTTAAGGTCAGGTACAATGAAATGGCAGTCATGTGAGGGGTATTCATTTCTCCAGATTAATCCCTGTCTTTTGCTCAATTTGCTCTGGCTATTGTTTGGTTTTCCAATGAAAAAAGGAAAAAAACAAAAACCCATACCCATCAATAATGACACCTGGACTGGGCCAGGTCAACTGGCTAATCTTCACAATCCTAGTCCTGCTCAATTGCATTTTTAAAAGGGGGTTGGACAGATCCATCAAGGGACCCTGAGGGGCACCAGGCCCACCCCCTTTGCTCTCTCAGCTTCCTCTCTGCCATGTGCATGTTGCTGATATGGTTCATGGGCAGTGAAACAAGACTCCCACCAGTTTATTATTAATATAACAGTAGAATACTACAGATTTTTTTTTTTTAATCATTACCCCAATAGCCTTTCACCTCTGGAGAGCTGGATTCAATGCCTGTTAAGATACAAGTGAAAATGAGTTTGGTGGTCTCATCCTAACCCTATCGGACAAGTTATTCCTTATACAGAAAAAAAAGCCCAAAAAACAAAATAAAAACAAAAACAAACAAACAAAAAAAAAACACTACACAATTTGGCACAAATGGATTGTTTCTACCCAAGTCTGAATAGCTGGTGGAGAGAAAGGGGATGCTGATCAGATCAAGGGGGCAACAGTCACAATGGTTCTAAGAAATATCAGCCTACCCTTTGCCTGACAAGCATCCCCAAACCTCACCCCCAAACCTTCCAGGACCTTTATTTTTCTTTTCAAATAACTCACCCCAAATGAAAACCAAGTTAATAAACACATTACCTCCTTGGGGTTAGCCATAGTAGGTCAAGTTTAAACCAGCAGGATGCTGGGTAATGAAGTTTTAAACAGATGTCAAGCTGAGACCTTGGGACTGGCCTCTGTCTTGCACTACACCTTACAGAAATAAACACTGAGGTTTCCATACCACTGAATCCGGTGTTGCCATGCGTCATAGGAAAATGAGACTGTTGCATTGCCAACTGGTGCAGCTTGGTCAACTGCAGGAAGCAAACAAGAAAGGCTGGCATTAGAAAAGTAACACAGTCAGGGCTCAAGCACACTCACATGTGAAAATGTAGAGTTCCTGAATCCCCAAGTTGACTCTACTACTCCAAATACAACACAGGGGAATGACTGGGCTTCTTAATACAATCCAGGGAATGGGCAGAATATGAAAGGAAAGGAAAAGAAATACAGAGGGTATCAGTATAAGAGAATGAATGCATTTTGGGTACATGAAAAGAAAAGCAACAGTACCCGCCCAATAACCATCCCTTTGTGGGCTACTTAATGAAGGTGTTTGCAGCCATTGCAACAGTTGCCCCAGGGACAAGCACAGACAGGCTAGGTAAACAAACTGTGCAGTGGTGCTAGGGAAAACACACCATGCAGGGTTCCACCAGTACTGGGAAAAGGGAAGGAAATGATGGGGGCAGGGAGACTGCAAGGAGAGGGCTTTGAGAAGAAACCAAACTGTGTTTAATCCCCACCACCAACAACTTCTACAGCTGTTTTTGTTGTTGTTTTAAAATCTCAATAAACCACCCTAGCTCATGTAAAGTAATCCCACTTCAGGTCTAATTCCCTCTCCTCAGTCCTGCCACTAACCAAGAACCAAACTCAACTATCCAAGTCTAATGCTCAGCACCTGAAAAGGTTAGTAAGAATAAAGGAAGAGTGCAGAAGAAAACGCCCTTAAACAAAGTCTAAATATTAGTACTTTAAAACAGGTTTTTGTTTTTTTTAGTGGCAAGGAAAGTTTTGAGTTGAATTCCCACATGTTCAGCTTCCTATCCTTCCCTGTGTTTAAGTCCTTCCACCCTCCCCCATATATGTTTTAAGTTGTCACCTCAGATGAAGGAGTACCCAACAGCAAACCTTCCTCCCACTCCTCCCATGGAAAGGAGAATGTTATTCAAGGAAGCACAGTCCACTGTCAATTTAAATAAAAATGACAGTATACAATGGAACATTTCACTTTTAGAGTAATCTGAAACACAGGGGAAAGAAGCTAATGATCTATTGAAATATAATTTCCAGGGGTTAAACGTCAAAAGGCAAACAAGGTTCTATATGTCCTGGTAATAATTTTTTAAGAGCCAAAATGTGGTTCACCCTGTGAGGGTAACAATACTGTACATGTTTAAAAACCCAACTCACTTCGGGATACTTGGGAGGAAGGAGTCACAGACAATATTGGATGGGAGAAGGAGCTTTTCAGAAAAAGAAGTGAAAACAAAACTTACATCTGGCTGTGGAATGGCATACTGTCCTTGAATGGTATAGGCCTACAAAAGGAGGAAAACAATTCCTATTAAAAACCAATCACGGACAGCCACCCAGTTCGGGGAATGGGGCAACAGATTTCAACTAGCCGGAAGTCAGAACTGAACTAGACAAAGGGGAGGTGAGGCACTGAGGCAATAGATGGAGTCTCACAAATATAGTCAGACCTGAGCTGGCCTTCTTTGAACCCTATATATAATTACTTTATTTCAGGGATCCTATAGAAGCAGCCAAGTTCTCTGTAATTAAGGCAAAATATACATATTTGTTTTTTAGTAACTTTGTTTATTTTTTATGTGGTGCTGAGGATTGAACCCAAGGCCTCACATGTACGAGGCAAGTGTTCTACCACTGACCCACAACCCCAGCCCACTTATCTGCTTTAATGAAAAAGTGGAAGTGCAATTAAGCACTGCCTTGACTGACCAAGCCCCTGCTTCTTCCCTGTATACAAGACAGCCTAGAAGGAAAATGGTGTCTTCCAACCAGTACCACCCCAGTCCTCTACCAATTGTGGTGCCGTGAATGATTTATACCTAAACAAAACTACATGACAATTTTCAAACATTTCCCTAACTTGTTTTTCTCTACATCTACCTAAAAACCTTAAGCTGGGTCACTAACACTATACAGTTGAAGAGAGAACACAAAAATCGCTATATTCTAAGTCCTACCTTTTCCCACCTCCCCTCCATAAAAGACACTTGCAGCTCCCACTACACCCTCCTCCCACCACACAATAACCTCCCAAAAGGGAGCTGGGTCTTGGGGCAAAGGGGGTAGGAGGCAAGGAGGAATAGGGAGGGAGGGAAGGAAGAAATGGCTGGTTAACAGGATGTGAAGCTTCTCACATCACTGTGGCTAGTATCCCCAAAAGTGCACCCAGGTAGGGGTGGGAGAAAGGTGAAAATGGGGCGGAAGGAATAGGAGAGGGAGAAAAGGGGTTGAACCAAAAATAAAAAAATAAAAAATAAAAAAAAAAAAAAAGAAGAGTTGGTGTTACCATCTGGTGGGCTACGCGGCCTGTGTGAAATGAGGTGGGGGGGTCAAGTCCAGGTCCCCGTGGACAGGTGGTGTCCACAGCACAAAAATCACCAGCGCCACTGGCCCCCCGTGTGTTGGCAGTCTCGGCTGAGGCGGAAGGATTGAGTGAGCCTTGGAGACTGAACATCCCCTCTCACCTCTAGAGGTGGTCCCTCCAGGTCAGGGTTGAGGCACATGGACGGGGTGGTGTGGGGAAAGCTCGCACTGTCGCTGCCTGTGCTGTACCTGTCCTGTGGATAAATAGAGGATTTCAGTCTCCAGGGCTGTCAATCCGGCACCTTGTCACCAGCATGAAATTCACACAAAAAAAAGTTGTTTATTTTTTTCGTTTTTCCTTTAAAAGGGAGCTCACGACACAAATTTGAAACGAGCTGTAATCAGTGAATTAAAAAAAATGTTACCTAGTGGCAGATTTCACAATGCACAATTGGGCTATTTTCAATAATGAAGGGGTGGGACAACAGAGCTGATACCAGCTCCTGGTCAACATGGGATTAAATTGAACCCCTACAGAGCCCACTTTGCCACAAAGGAACAAAAGACAGGTCCATCTGTGGACACTGTTATGAACTGGTCCATTTTAAAAATGCCCATGGGAATGACCCAYGAAAGGGCAACTAATTGAAAGAAGCTGCAAGCTGTTTAGAGGGTAGTCAACTGAATAAGGGGAAGGGAGGGGAAAAGGGAGGAAGGAAGAGGAGGAAAGCCAAGAGGTATGAAGGGGGTAAGAGGGACAGGAGAGAAGGGAAAAAAAGGGTAGTTTTGAGAGGATTGCTGCCACACAGCATAGGACCCCCTTATAATTCCAAATGGGAGTGGGAGAATCCAGAAGAACAGGAACCTGGAGCTCTAAGGAGAACGGAAAACCCTTAAGGCTAACCCTCCTGTCTCAATACTGACTGAGCCTGCCTTTGCTTATCCTGCCCAACAAACCAGACTAAGAGCCCTYTGACTAATCCAGTTTACACAATAGCAGTGCTAAAGGTACTGTCTCAAGATTATACTGTGACATGATTAACTTCTTGTGAAAGTTCCTAGAACTATATAACAAACTGAGCCCCTGAAACTTGTTTGATTTCATGCCACTTCAGTATAGTTATCAATGTGATGAACTCCAAGCCTACACTCTCCCTTCAAATGACTTCCAAATCAAATACAGGTAAGATGCTTATTAACAGGCCAGACCCAAGTGGGGATAGGCACTTTGCTTACACAGCTACCAAAACGAACACCACTATTTCAATCTTAATCCCAGTATTTTAAAAACTGGCCTAGCAATTTTTTAAATACTAACAAACGCATAAAACTACCATGGTGCTTTATCAATGCTCTCGTCATACACATCTAACTTTAGAATAAACCATGTGTAAAAGATGAAGAATTTAGATTGGTAAGGAAGGAGTAGAGAGAGGCCCAAGGGGTGCTTTGGTGTTCTTGCTCTAACACCAAAGGTCACAGCACCATAGCCCAACATGCTCTCCCCCTCCTATTCTTGTAGGCTGAACTCTTACCCCAGCTGATTTCAATTATGCCATGTGGTTCAAACCAGTATTTATGAGGTTAAGAGTCTGGGATATTGACAATACACTGGAGTTTGGAGGTGAAGGGGTAGGAACAGGGGAGGTGAGGTGGAGGGAAGGGGAAGTTTGTAGGACACTCAAGTTCAGAGTTCCCCAATTTTGAGACCAGCATCCAGAACTCTCCTTCAGAGGTCCAATTCTTTTCTACCTTTACTCAGACCTCTAAAGATCACCCCACACATACAAAAGCATGGATGGGGTGGGAAAGAGAGAAGTAGTGACACAGAGGCAATTTAACTCTCCTAACCCATCCCACATTAAATTACAAAATAAATTACCTCTTCCGAGTGCCTACAAAACTTCCTTTGCCTGTTAAAAATTAAATACGGGCTTGGCATTCAAGGCTTTTTCCAGTACAAAAATAAAACTAAAAGCAAGTCACACTATGGCCAGAGTAATCGGCAAGCATGCAGAGTGGCTTGGTGTGCTGCTGGCGTAGTTGACATTTCAAATATTATGTTAATTCTAGCCAACCAATAAGAACTGTCTTACCTGACCACCTGCAAAGATGACTGGAGAACTTGACGGCTTGGGCCGGTACGGGATGGTCACGCCCTTCGGGGGGGACTGGGAGAGAGTCAGAGGGGAAAAAAACAAAAAGAGATAAGGTTTCAAAGCTGCTTCAGCTGTGTGGCTTTAGCACACACAGTTCAGTTAAAACTATTATTTCCATCCCCTTACCTACAGCAAGTTATCATTAGGTAGATCTAATCTCAAATCTGCAATTATTTGCTGTAAAGCAGTAAGACAGTGATGGACTACTCCCAGCTCACATTAATCATTAAAGAAGATACCCCTAAAAATAATTTWATGCACTATTTCCATGTATTTAATGACACACACAAAAAAAACCTCTGCGTACATTTTAGCTATTATTTTTTAGGATTTCATATTTTAATCTGAAGAGAAAATAAAGCCAAGTTTGAAATAAAGTACCCAAAAGATGAGACTAGGATAATATAGAAGTGTCTGCACTGCACACTATTCAGAAATCCAATTAAAATTTTAACTCCACTTGGAAATCACACTTTCTGATAAAGTATGGGACAAATTACATATAACTTAAAAAAAAGGTTTAATTACCCCATAATTTTCCTCTTTAATAGAATACTAGTGTATTAGCCAGACACATAAGTCATTCAAATACTACCACAAATTCACCATTCTGTTCTATATTCACTCACTATCCTTTAGAATATATCCTGCTTGAAAGCCAGAAATTAAAGAATGTGCTCAAGTTCCATGTTAACAAAGTATAGCATTCCAAAAGGTAATTTAGCTTCTCAGGAACTCAAATGAATATTTTGTCCACTCAGTTCACGTAGTGAATCTTCCCATCTACCCTTGTAAACTGTGCTAAAACTGTCCTAAACCAAAAGATCACTGCTAGTTAGCAGGTTCTATTTTTGTTCACAGACCATAGGAAAAGTCAAAGCTGGGGGAAGGAAAATATGAACTCAGGGAACCTTTGTACCCACCCCCATTGAAGGCTACTAACAGCTTCACCTAATTCCAGTCTTACTAAATATAGATCAGTTCCTGTCCCCAGAATTGCCCTTCCCCCACTCTCAGCATGAGCCTGAGGGCTTACCTCCAACATGACCACGCAGATCTGTTTGACACACTCAATGATGGATTGCGGAATGCCAGCAATAGTGATGGCCCGCTCAGTTGAATTGGGGAGCATATCCCCTGCCACCTGGACTTGAGCCCCTGTACTCTTTGGGGGTAAAAAGAAATTGAAAAATCAGAAAAAAAATTTTTTTTTCAAATACTCACAGTATTTATTTTAGATTTTATAGCTCAGTGAATACTTATCCTGTCCATCTCCCCCTTTCTTTGTCCCTTCCCATTCCTCCCTTTTCTTTTTTTTTTTAAACAATACCTTTATTTTTTTTTTTAAAGAGTGAGAGAGAGGGAGAGAGAGAATTTTAATATTTATTTTTTAGTTTTTC